TTCTGCAGCCTTTCTACTGCTACTCCTTGGCTCCTTTCTGCTGTCTTTCAGCCACACCCCTGATCTTATGGTAGATACGATCTAACACCTACCCTTCTCGGATCATCATCATCCAGTGCTAGATCTGAGACAGACGTCGGCGATCATGGTTTTCCATTCATTCCTTTGCTCGGATGCTCTAAAAAAAGCTACGTTTCCCTGATCTTTCCCTGTTACCCATTTGTTCAGGTTCCCTAAGTATGTTGTTCTGGGCCTACCCCTGCCTCGCTTGCCCTCAATTTGGCCAGTAAGAGCTAGATGTTCAAGACCCTTATGTCTATTCAGGTGTCCCAAAAACTGCATTTGTTGTTTCCGGATTGTTTTTAACATTGAGCGTCCCACGAGGGCTTCATCAAGCACTACTTCATATGATTTCTTTTCTTTCCATGATACTCTTAGCAGTCTCCTAAGAAACCCCATTCCTGTTGCTTCTATTTTATTTTCACTGTTTATTTTGTGATTGTCCAGCATTCAGAGCCATATAGAATGGTTGACCAAACATAGCATTTCCGGACTTTCTTTTTGGTGTTCATTGAGATGTTTCTATTTTTCAGGATTGGGCTCATTTCTTTGAAATTAGTCTTAGCCATTGTAGTTCTCCTTTTTATTTCTGTGGAACGTTTGGCGCCAGATGTTATCATATATCCTAGATATTAAAACGGTTGGAGTTGTTTGATCTTTTCACTTTTGCTAATGAGATTACATCTAGGATTTTGTGCTTTTTTTTGATATTATCATGCATTCTGTTTTCTTTACATTCAACAATAATCCTTTACTTTCACTTTTTGTTACAACAGTATCTAGAAGCAATTGAAAGTCCTGTTCGGAGCCTGTTATTAAAACTGTGTCATCTGCATACCTGATGTTATTAATATTTTCTCCATTTATTTTGAGGCCTGGACATTCTTCTATGTTTCTACGGATTGTTTCACTGTACATGCTAAAGAGGTCTGGTGACATAACACATCCTTGCCTCACTCCTCGCCTAATCTGCTTATATTCAGTGTATTCTCCATTAATTCGTACAGCAGCTTTTTGGTCCCAGTACAAATTTCTGATAATTCTTAGATCTTTTCCATCTATGTCTAGCTTTTCCAGTATTTTAAATAGCTCATCATGTCTAACTTTATCGAACGCCTTTGAATAATCTATGAAGCATAACTACAGATCTTTCTGTGCTTCAATACATCTTTCCATTAACATTGTTAAGGGGAATATAGCATTTCTGGTGCCCTTATCAGGAACAAAGCCGAATTGCGTTTCAGGCATCTCTGATCTTACACTTTTCTCAATCTTTCCATTATTACTCGCAGCAATATTTGTGTAAAATGACTCATAAGGCTAATTGTTCTATGCATATCATACTCAGTGGCACCTGGTGTTTTAGGTAAAGCTATAAAAACTGACTTCAACACATCTTCTGGGATCTCACCGGTGTCATAAATTGCATTTAGGAGCTTTGTTGTTATTTCAGTGCCTAGTTCTTCAAGCGCGACAATCACTTCAACTGGAATATTATCTGGCCCTGTGGCTTTTCCTTGTTTTATTTTCCTAATGGCAGCTTGTACTTCCGCTTTCAGCATTGGTGGTCCATGTATTTCATTCTTTATTACCGGTTTTTCTCCTCTGTTATCTTTGAAAAGTTCTTCTATGTGTTCTGACCATCTGTTTAAGACATCCACGTTGTCCATTAAAACATCCCCTCCCTTTGATCTTATGCATCCTGTATTTGAGCATCCTTTTATCCCACTTACTTCTTTGATTTTGGAATGCATGTATTTGTTGTCTTTGTTTTGGTTCTTCTCTATTTGTTGACACTGGTCTTTTATCCATGTTTCTTTTGCTTCGTTGTATTTTTTCTTTATTTCCCAGTCTAAGATGTTGTACTTTTCCACATTTGATTTTGCCTTTCTTCTCTCTTCCATTAGTTTTAATATGTCCTGGGTCATCCATTTTTATTAGCTTTTTTTAGCTTTCGGGGGGATATTTCCTTCCACAGCTTCCATTATTGAGTCTTTTATTTTTCTCCATAGCTCTTCCGATTTAGTAATGTTTTCCAAAGCTTGAAATTTATTTCTTACATCTATGGAGACACATCCTTTCATTTCTTGATTTGTCTTTAAAAGACCTATGTCAAGTTTAGGTTGATATTTTGACTTTTTGAGTTTCTTCAGTCTCATCAATATTTTACACATGGCTGGTACATGGTCATTATCACAGTCTGCTCCTGGCAGTGATTTAGATGATTTTATTGTGTTTCTAAAACGTTTCTGAATAAGTATGAAGTCTATTTGATTTCTACATCTATCGCCGGGGCTCTTCCAAGTGTATCGTCTTCTTGGGTGATTTTCATACCAGGTGTTTGATATCATAAACTTATTTTCTCTGCACCATTCTACCAGTCGTTCCCCGCGTTCATTCTCTTTACCCAGTCCCCATGGCCCAACTATATCTTCTATACGTGTACTTCCTACTTTGGCATTAAAGTCTCCCATGACTACCTTTACATCTTGTGGTTTTAACTGTTTCATTGCCTTATCAAGGTCTTCATAAAAAGTCTCAATTTCCTCGTTCTTGTGCTCTGATGTTGGTGCGTATATTTGGATGACACCTGTGTCAAACGGTGTTTCCTCTAATTTAGCCACGATGACTCTATCTGACATTCTCCAAAAACTTTTGATGCTCTTTGCTGTTGCTTCGTCAAATAAAATACCGACTCGTCTTTCATGGGATTTTCCTCCTGAATATATAATTGTTTTGGATCCTCTTTTAATCAAGCCCGCCCCCTCCCTCTAACTTCTGAAAGGTCTAACATATTTAGCTTCATCCTATCCATTTCCTGTTCTATGTTATCTCATTTGCCTTTCTGGTACATTGTTCTTAAATTCCATGTGGCTATATTAAGATGCTTATTTTTGCAGCCAGTAGCTGGATGACGATCGAGCGCCACGTGCTACCCATGGCGGTCTCTACCCAGCGGGGAGTTCAGGGCTGGATCTGGAACCCCCTTAATGCTGTTATCTGATAAATAAATGTACTTTTCCATGACTATTCTTGGGTTATTACAGCACTGGTTTCCCGTTGCCTACTGACGGTTTGTGTACAGTTTTCTCTGCTAGTCTTTGTCATCCACTGACAACCCACAAGGCAGTGGGGGCTTTGGTAGGATTTATGGCGCCTCCCGTCGCCAAGATGATCCCTTCGTCGAGTGCGTGAGGTATTTATTGAAGCACCTGTGCGGCCAGGGTTCCCCTCTACTCTCCATGACCATCTCCCATTTGGTTCACGACTGCTTAGCAGCTAACCTCCATATCTGGAGGTCTTTCCCCTATCCACCCCCCGGGGACGCGCTGGGTTGGGTATGAGGACCCAATACTAAATCTTAGTACTTCTCGGATAAGGGCGAAAAATCTCGGAAGTACTGTGAGCAGGTTGCGCACGTTAAAGTTCCATGGTGGTTCAAAATCAGTATGAGCAGGCCTCGGCGCCACCCGTGCAAAATTCAAAATTTCCTACCTACTGAACTTATTCAATGTGTCCCGGGCTCTCATATGACCTTAGGCAGCTACAAGCCCCGTAAAACAATTACCGTAACAAAACAGAACAAAAATTCTATGGTAGCGCTTAGGCTAACAACGACACGTTGAAGCTGTGTGCAGCGTACACTGGACATTACCTGCATCTCTTTCACGTACTCGTTTCGCCTAGATGGAGCTTTGCAGTTGGACACAATCCACACAGCTGTTTTCTTTTTCTTTATCACCAAAGCAGCTGAGGAAGAATAGAATAGAATGGGACAGAATAGAATTGAATAGAACACAACACAACACCCGTATAGTAGAATAGAATTGAATAGAACACAATACAACACATGTATAGTAGAATAGAATTGAATAGAACACAACACAACACCCGTATAGTAGAAAAGAATTGAATAGAACACAATACAGCACATGTATAATAGAATAGAATAGAATAGAATAGAATTGAATAGAACACAACACAACACCTGTATAATAGAATAGAATAGAATTGAATAGAACACAATACAGCACATGTATAAATGAATAGAATAGAACAGAACAGCACACAATGCCATGTAGCATAAAATATACTATTACATATTTGGCAACTTGGAAACACATTTGTCAATTTTCCCCTAAAACTACGACAGCTACAGAGTTTTGAAAGTTGGCAAGTACCTGCAAAAAGATAGATAGGTCCCCACGACGGAGCCCGATTTTTGATTTATTCATTTCCTGAATTTAGACAAATAAATTGACAAAAAGTTCCCGTCCGATCCTTCTTTGGCCTATGTGATTATTCACGGAGAAACGAAACAAATCTGCGCACGCTGTCCCCCACAATGGAAGTGCTGGAAGTGAGATTTCGTGAGGCGCATTTTGTTTTGAGAGTATAGATCTAGACCCTCTAATTTCCTGCATCTCTCAAGATTTATTGCTCCATTACGGTAGAGTCAAGGACTACTATATGAGTATAGTAGTCCTTGGGTAGAGTGTAAATTAGGCCAATGACTTTCAGTTGATGTTAATTCACCGATCATTCCTTTCATCGAAAGGGGGCCCAGCTAGTATAATATAATCGAATGGAATAGAATAGAATAGAATAGAACACAGGTAAAATAGAATACATAATGGAACAGAATAGAATAAAATAGAATTGAATAGAACATAATAGAATCGAATCGAATGGAATAGAACGGAATGTATGTATACATGTGTAACCTTTGCTCCCCCCTTCTCTCTCTCTCTTTCTCTCTCTCACTCACTCTCTCTCTCTTTCTCTGTCTCTGTCTCTGTCTGTCTCTCTCTGTCTGTCTGTCTGTCTCTCTCTCTCTCTCTCTCTCTCTCTCTCTCTCTCTCTCTCCGTCTACCTCTCTGTTGCTGTTTGAATGTGTATGTGTATGTGTCCCGCTCCACCCTCTATCCCTTCCCTCCACC